GCCTCCTGGCACTGAGATTACAGGAATGCAGCATAAATCTCTCTCTCTCTCTCTCTCTCTCTCTCTCTCTCTCTCTCTCTCACACACACACACACACTTTTTTATTTCTCGCTACTAAGGACTGAACCCAGGGTTTTCACGCTGTGCTATATCCCTAGCCCTCTTATATTTTTAAAAATTTTGAGACAGGGCCTCACTAATGCAGTTCAGGCTGCCTTGAGCTCACTTTGTAGCCTAGGCTGGGCTCAAACCTGCCAATCCTCCTGCCTCAGCCTCCTGAGTGCTTGGATTATAGGTGTGTGCCACCATGCCAGGTTTATGCCACCTTATATAAGGGACTGGAGCACCCATGGATTGCTTTGCTTTTTCTTGATTTCTTTCTTTTCTTTTTTGAAAGTCTTATTATGTAGCCCAGCCAGCTTTGTTACCGCAGTCCTACTGCCTCAGCTTCACAAGTACTGAGATTACAATCTTCAGTCACCATGCCTGGCTACATCCAAGGTGCACTGGATTGACAATGGTGGTCAACTTGCTACACCCAGCTGGACTGAACCCGCCTGGTGCTGGCTGTGGGAGGCCACCTGAGGATTGCTGCTGGCAGCAGAAGAGGCAGAACTGAAGAGGAAGAAGAGAGGCTGTTGGGAGCTCGAAGAAGCTGTTGGGAGCTGGTAGGGAGCTGCTGGTTCTCTGGGCTGTTCTGCTAGAGGAACCTGTCATGCTGGCTTTCCAGGTGAACTTGACTGTTCTCACTGGAGGAGGAGCTCGGGACCTTGCTGTCACTGAGGGTGGCTGCAGTTCATTTTGGGGGATCTCTGCTCCTCACCTTGAGCATCACTTCCTGGCTCTGGAGGGGAAGATGGTGCAGCGCTCAGCCTCCTGGAGAAGCTTGTCAAGTTGGCTTTCCTGATGGGAACTCGGCTTTCCTCCTCATCAGAGGAGCTCAGGACTTTGCTGTGGCTCAGGACGGCGGTGGTACTTGTGGGGGAGCTCTTACCTTGAGCGTTGCTTCCTGGCTCCGGTTCAGATCCCTCAGCCTGCTAGCACGGGTCCTTCATCCCACTGGCACAGACTTCCTAGCTTCCACCACTGACCTTTGGGCCTTCCCAGGGCAGATCCATGAAACAGGCCTTCAAGAGACATTGTCCTGGGCTCTAGGGCTCTAGTTGGATTTGTAGGAGGCATTGTTATGGGCTCTAGGTCTTCAGCTGGACTCCTGCAGGACATTATCATGGTAGCCAGGTCCACAGCTGGACTGCTTGGTCTTTAGCGTGTGGACAGATTTCCTGAACTCCCTCTTTGTATATGATTCTTTGGGTGACTATTATAAATAATCTTATAAGCAGCACATCCTGAGATCCCGCGGATCTGTTTCTTGCTTCAACAGTGTTTGGAAGGAACAGATCGGGGGACTCCTTTTTTCTTTTTCTCTTTCTTTCTTTCTTTCTCTTTCTTTCTTTCTTTCTTTCTTTCTTTCTTTCTTTCTTTCTTTCTTTCTTTCTTTTTCTTCTTTCCTTCCTTCCTTCCTTCCTTCCTTCCTTCCTTCCTTCCATCTTTTTGACAGGGTCTACAGGGTCTACAGGGTCTACAGGGTTTCACTGTGAAGATCAGACTCGTAGTGATCCTCCTGTTTACAATTTCCCAAGTAAGTGCTGGGATTACAGGTGCGTGCCACCACGCCCAGTCTCAATCACCGACTCAGCGTGCCCCATGGGGCAGGGCTGGCACAGCAGGGCTGGGGCTCAAACTCCCTAAGCAGGCGCTTTAATCTGCTGAGCTATTTGGCCAGCCCATACACTGTTCTTTTGTATATAGCTCATTATTGTTGACCAGCCATGACCTCTCAGATTCGTCAGAATTATCCCACTGAGGTAGAGGCTGCTGTTAATTGCTTGGTGGACCTGCACCTGTGGGCCTCCTACACCTCCCTTTCTCTGGGCTACTACTTTGATCATGATGATGTGGCTCTGGAAGGCATGGACCATTTCTTCTGTGAGCTGGCCAAGGAGAAACTCAAGGGTGCCGAGCACCTCCTAAAGATGCAAAACTGGCGCGGCAGCTGTGTACTCTTTCAAGATGTGCAGAAACCATCTGAAGATGAGTGGGGTGAAAACTTGGAGGCCACGGAAGCTGCCCTGGCCTGGAGAACATGAACCAGGCTCTTCTGGACCTCCATGCCTTGGGCTCTGCCAAGACCGACCCCCATATCTGTGATTTCCTGGAGAAGCACTTCCTAGATGAGGAGGCAAAGCTCATCAAGAAGATAGGGGACCACTCACCAACCTCCGCAGGCTGGCAAGCCCCCAGGCTGGGCCAGCGAGCACCTCTTTGAAAGGCTCACCCTTAAGCATGACTAAGAGATTATGGAACCTGGTGGTCTCTGAGGGGCTCCTACATCACCTGGCCTCAGGGATTTGGCCTAACCCTCTCCCTCCAGCCACTAGGAAGCTTTTTCACCTCTCTGGAGCCCCTTCCCTAATCTTGGACCAAAAGAAAATACACCCCTTTGCAGCAAAATAAATAAGTAATCTTATAAAATACGTGTCCTATATTGTATTGTTCCCCTTGCAAAACCTCTAACCACACCACAAGGGTTCTGGTATGTAGTGAGGGTCTTGGAATCAGCTCTCCATGGACAGCCAGGGGTCACAGCAGTGTCCTACAGAAGAGACCCCTGACAGCTGCTTAGCCCTCCTCACTGTGTGCAGA